GATGTTGAGGAAACTGAACACCAGGTCGATTTTCGTGAGGCGGCGGAAGGCCGGCCGGAAGGAGAAGCCCATGCAGGGGAGGAGGACCAGGCATAAGCACAGCGCCAGCATCATGAAGCCCATGCCCAGGTGCTGGAGAACTGTCGGGGAGGAGGGTGTAAGGCTGGGAAGGTTGCGATAACAGCCCAGCCAGATCCCCCCCCATCCCCATCCCACCCCATGCCGCAAATGCCCCACATGTGCCTCAAGATCGCTCTCACTGCTGGAGAGCCCAGCAAACACCCTCAGGTCATTAATGTAACTCCTGGACGCTCCGGAGTTAAGTCCACTGACGGCAATAGCAGCCTGACAGGCAGCCCTGAAGTCTGGCTGCAGAACCCCCCCCCTCCTACATTACCAAAGTGACCTCCTGAACACTCCAACTGTAACCCCCATTCGTGTGCACAAAGCCACCCCTCTAGGGGCCCCCAAAGCCAGCTCAAAGTCACTCCCACTCACACCCTCAAAATTCTTTTAAATCCCTGTGGGGCAGTTAGGTCATTTCCTGTCAACTTGATGAATAGAGGGAAAGGGTGGAGTCACAGACTGATGATGCCTCCTTGTGGGCGTGGCCTTCTCACGAGGATTCTGGGAACGTCCTCTCTTTTTCCCAGGAGGTGGACCATACTCTCTCTCTCTCTCCCCCTGCTTCACATAGCTGTTGACAAGCCACATGGAGCCACGCTGATGGCAGCCAGAGCCCTGGTGATGCGTCCACTGCCATTGGGCCCACAGGACTTTCCACCCATGGGCCTGTGATCTTCCTGCATCGGCATCATTGCATGTGCTGCGTGAGTCTGAAGAGGGATTCATGGGCTAATATTGGGCTTATGGGCTTGGTCTGTGCTGGGATTTTAAAAAAAATAATATGGTAACTAATGATGCCATAATTCAATGTAGAAAGATATCTGTGGTGAACTGAAATGTCTTTTTTATTTTAGCAAATCATTTTATTGGGGGCTCGTACAACTCTACAATCCATCCATCCATCCATCCATTGTGTCAAGCACGTTTGTACATACGTTGCCATTATTCCCAAAACACTTTGGGCTGGTATGTTTTATTGATGCATAACTTACTTCTTGATAGGAAGTTCTCTCCGACATATATATGAGTGTCTATGGATTTGTCTCTCTATTCAACCTGGCTCTGACATGCCCTGCTTGCAACCAAACCCCCTTTTTGGGGAGTGGGGGGAACCATATTCCCACTGCAATCACCTAATTGTTACTTTCAGAGATTCTCCATGCAGTCCTCTGGGTCATAGAAGATGTCTTGTGACTGCATGATCAAATGATGGCTTACAATGGCCCTGTCAGCTGAGGCCTTTGGAGCTCTGGGGGCACTGCCAAGTGAGCGTTGGACAT